TCTCTCTCTCTCTCTCTCTCTCTCTCTCTCTCTCTCACACACACACACACACACACACACCCGTAAGGTAAGTGAAATCAGGCTCAAAGAGGCCATATAGCCTCTCTGGGTACCCAGTGGATAATGAGTTTGAATCAAAAACCAGGTCCACCTAACTCTGAAGCCAGTATTCTTTCTACTACATTGAGCTGTTAGGTGGTATTGACTGAAAAATCCTACACCCTGCCCCAGAAATATCTGTGTCAGCTTACTCTGGGACTCATTCCTCCACCATGGCCTTCCACTGGGGGGCCCTAAGACTGGGATTACTAATAACAAAAATTGCATCAACTGATTCTCTCCCTTTGATGGCAGGTAATGAACCTGAAAATATACATTCTCTTCCTCTGGCCCTCCATCAAATTCTACTCCCAGAACAGGGACCATTTGACAAGCTGTATATGTAGTGACACAATCCAATAAAATGAAATGAAGTAAACAACTTTATTTTTCACTACTTCCATCCCTTATTTGAATTGTGAATACTCTAGTTAGATTTCATACATAGCCTGTCTAGAAACTCATTTTATGATGAAATATGCCCTATGTGACTTGTGTTTGAAACTGCCTGGCTTACTTTCAACAGCCTGGGTTAAAGAAACAAGGTGACAGGCTTGTGAGGAACTTGAAGGGTCTTGCTTTTATGCCACTCCTTCTCACAGCAGCTGACCTACAGTGCAAGGAATTCTTTTGCATAAAGTAAAATATCTGCCCCAGGAACCATCTAAATCTTGCCAAGGGGGAAGCTCTCTTCTGTTCTGTAATATCATGTAATAATATAGGAAATGCACTGCTGATTTAATGTCAAGTAACAAAACAGAATATAGAATTGAGGAGTATGATCTCAACCACATATTATTTTAGAACATCAGTCCAGAAGGAAATACCTTAGAATGTTAATGATAGTCATTTTTGTTACATAGGATTATGTATGCATTTTTTCATTTCAGTAAAAAGCATTTATCATTTTTAAAAAGTTAAATGAAATTACTATAAAAGGAAATTTTCTTCTTTTGCAAACAAGCCTAAATATCATTCAGTGTTTCCTTCCTACCAACACTCTTATACAAGGATATAACTTTAAAAATACCAGATACAAGATTTTCTAACAAAAGAAATTCTGTTGATGAATACAGATAAAAAAAACACTGTAACCCAACAAATCAAATCTAATAGGGTACAGAAAACAGTACACTGTGACTTAGTAAGTTCGATCCCAGAAATTCAGCTCAGAAAATCTACCAGTCAAATCCATCACACACACACACAAACACATACAAATGTATTATAATACAAAATGCAAAAGTAAATGCATATATATAAAGGAAAATATGTACAATCATTTAAATAAATACAGAAAAAATCATATAGTAAAATCCAAATGTAAAAAACAAATTCCTAGAATATCTAAAACGGAATAAAGAACCTTTAGTAAGAGCTTAAATATCACATTAAAATATCATTAAGAAGCATGTTAATTAATTGAGAAACAAAATAAGGACACCTACTATCATTAAGTACTATAAAGACAGGCCCAGCCAATGCAATAAGATAGGAAAAAAAATGAAGTACTGAAGGATTGGAACAAACACTTATTTGGAAGTTGTATGTTGTCTCTATAGAAAAATCCAAGAAGAACTGAGTAAAGTATTAGTAAAAGATTTCAACAGCATTATTATATTCAAAATTCAAAATCCATATGTAAGTGGTTTATTCCTTTTGTAGTTCTTGTAGTACTTGTTTTTACCAAATTAGCAACATTTGTTCAATAGAGTACCAATCATTCTGCTGTCAATACTGAAAAATAAAGAAATGAATGGATGCTTTTACAAGCACATTCTTTCTCTTTTCAGTGCAGATGTGTGCTTTCATGACACCCTGGTCCAGACAAGTATATCTGGAATAAAGAGTATTTATCGCTATTGCACAATTACAAACAATCAGCCCCTTGATTATAAAATGGGATAAGAGGATAAAAAAGTACAATGAGGAGGAGGAGGAGGACAACGACTAAGCAGGTGTGTTACAGACTAAATATTCATGTCCCATTAAAAAATGAACACTTTGAAGCTCTAACCCCTAGTGAGATGATATTTGGAAATGGAGGCATTGGAAACTAATTAGGATTAGATGACATTATGAGGATTGTGTTCTCCTGATAGGAATGGTGGCCAAATAAGGGGGTGAGGGGTCAGGGAGGGAGATATCTAAATCTGTTGATTGATTTTGCTCTTTGTCTTCTATGTGAGGATGCAGCTGTATACAAGCCAGGAAGAGAGCCCTGACTAGGAACGGAATTTGCTGGCATTTTGAACTTAGACTTCCAGCCTCCAGATCTGTGAGAAATGCATTTCTGTTGTTTAAGCCATCCAATTCTATGGTATTTTGTTGTTATCCCAAGCTGATAGTGGAAAAGAAAAAAAAAGGAGGAGAAGAGAAATGATGAAAGATGACAAGAAAGAGAAGGAATAAGGTGGAAGGTAAAGGAGACAAAGATGAGGAAGAAGAGGGGGAGGAACACAGCTAACCTTGGCTGAGTAATATATGCCAAGTACTATACAAAGTATTTTAATTGCCTTGTTCCTGTTAATTTCATAGAGAGTCTTTGAGGATTGTAACATCTTATTTCTATTTTGTAGGAAAGGAAACTGAGGCTCAGAGAAGTTATGCAGCTGTCTAAGGTCACACGCTGAGGAAGTGGGAGAGCTACAACTTGAGCCGAGGTCAGCCTGTCCAGACTCTCTGGTCTGAGCACTTTCTAGAGGACTTCCTCACGTATTTTGTGCTCATTTTAAGGCTTCTTAGAACATGAATATGAGGAGGTTCTAAAGTGTGACCTTCAAGCTCCCGCCCCAAATCCCCAACCAAGCCCATGTCCTGAAAGTCTGAATCCTCTCTTCAGAATGCTTCCGATTTTGCATGTTAAAATTAAGAATGAAAAAATATGCACTAAGATACAATTTTTAATGCATTAAGTATTCAAGTGCACACATTTTGTGGAAAAAGGTTAAATTTGATGCAAAAATATAACTTGTCAGTTTCCACTGAAAAAGCATTTGAATTTCAGGACATACCAGGTTTCACCCCCCACCCATACACACACACACAAAGCAGTTCTCTCAAGACCTCTTCTCTCACCCACTTGCTTTCCTTTTATTATTCTTAGACCATGATGCATAGAAAACAGGGTTTAACATTAAGTTTTAGGGATTGGAACAGACGGCCTTCAAAATATTTGTGTTTTGAATAAACATCAAAAGACAAATTTAATGCCCTTCCTGGGTTTCATCAATCCAGAGCTGCATATGTATTACACTTAGGTCTTCTGCTTTGGATAGTGTCAGGCAAATGCCATCAGACTGCACAAAGAGCAGGCACAGTGATGTCTTGGACAAATTGCCACCTATAGGAAGAAGCAAAGGGCATCCTGGTTTGCAAACCCACATGGATGGATTTCTAGGTCTGAAAGAGAGCTCTTTTAATCCCTTTCCTTGGAACTGAGAAGACCTGGCAAGGAATGTGCTAAAACCACAGGGAGAACACACACACACAGCTTACTTCTAATTCAGTACTAATGTACTGAAAGGTATGGTCATAAAGCCACGGGATCAAATTCCCCCCAAACATGGAAAGTGATAGGATTGCTTTTCTCTCGCTCCAGACATGTCCATCTTCCTTATCAGCTAGCTTTGTGAAAAAGAGGTCCAGCTCTGAAGCAGTTCCCAATACAGGTGACTCACAACCAGAGCACATTTCTAATAAAGCCAGATATAAACAAAGTGCTACAGAAACAAACAAAAGAAGGCAACGGATTCCAATTGGAAGAAAGAGCCATCCCAGGAGCCTCCATTAGATCAACCTGGAGAATGAGAAAGGTAGAAAAAATGAAGAGCAAAAGGATTTCTGGTAATAGTCTAGTAGTTCTCAATGTGGTCTCTGGACCAGCAGGACCAGCATCACCTGGGAACTGGTTAGAAAATGCAAAGTCTTGAGCTGCTCCAGACTTACAGGACTAGAAATTCTGGGGATGGTACTCAACAATCTGCACAATAATAAGCCCTCCAGGAGACACTGGTGCTGCCTCTGAGAACCACTGGTATACAGAATGGTGAACTACAACAGGGAGAATGCCTGCAGTGTAAACAGATTGGGGAACTGGAGAGAGGGAGAGATGCTGCTGGAGGGATGGATAGAAGGCATATCTGGAAGGGTTTTGGAGATCCTGGAAAAGAATTTCAGATTTTATCAATGAAATATAATGAGTACAGAAAATAGCAAATAACTTAAAAAAATAACAATCATAAAGATATTTGTTTATCTCAGTCCATAGATTAAAACCTCATTTCTGCACAGAAAAGAAGCCACCAAAAAGAGAGCAAATTGGGCCCTACCTTTCTTTCTGGAGTCTTTCTTGGCGCTGGTTTTCACAGCTACTTGAAGTTCTGTCTCAGTTGACATCCTACTTAATCCTTAGTCCACTTCACACAGATCCCGGGCCTCGGCCAGGCTCATCGAGGACTCCTCTCCAAGAGAAAGGCTCCTCCCTTCAGAAACGGCACCCCGAGCTGCACACGTCATTCACTCTTTGGGAGTGCTGTAAATCAAGGCAAGAGAACATTCAGAACAATCCTTCTTTGAAAATCAAACAGAAATTGGGCAGGGGTTGGGGGTGATGAATGGCAAGCCTACAAACCCTACAAATAAAAAAAAAAATCTTGTTCTTCATATACAAACTTCTGGAATGCATAGGATTTATACAGCAACTCACATGAGTGGCTTATCTACAAGACTGGTCTCGAACTAGGTAACTCAAAATAGATTTGTTAAACTCTGATTTTCAAGAGAGACAAAAATGCACCTCTTTGTTTCCCATGTTCCTTGTTGTTAAGCACTAGATGCCACCCAGAAAATACTGCACAGACGTATCTCCTGGTCAACCCTGTGGAGTCATTTCCAATGATGGGGCACCCATCCATCAGCCAAGCTTGATCTGAGCCTGGGCAGCTAAGGCAGATCAAAGGGGAGCGATCTCCAGTCAGTCTCTCACTGGCAGGCATCAGAGAGGACATGGAGTTGACATGTAATTGGGCTCCAAGGGTAAGGTGACAAATGGGGCTGAGAAAGTCTCCAGTAAGCCAATTTTTATGTCAGCTTTCCCCCCAGCTATAAGAGCAGACAAGCATTTAATGGGGGACAGAATGAAAAGGAGTGGGCGGACGCACGTTTCATTCATTCATTCATTCATTCTGATAAATATGCATCCCACGACACTAGGTACTGTTCAGTCCAGACAGTGCTGGGAGGAGAATCATGATAATTATGATAATGTGGCCACTTCAATTATAGCTGCTATTTACTGTGCACTTACTAGATACTATGTGCTGTGTTTCTGCTTCACATACATTATCTCATTTGATTGCAATTAAATTGAATAAATGTATTCCGTTTGTCAATAGTCTTTCCCAGGGACTACCTATCTGAGAGTTACATCTGAGAGCTCCACTGAACACAAACATTTTACCAGTCATCCGCTTTTGATGAATATTAACAAAAAGCAACCAGAAATAGAGGAATGGATCTTCAAATTCTGCATCCAATTCTTCGCTTCTTCTACAGAATGAGAACTGCTTAATTTAAGAGGGGTTGACCTTGAATGCCAGTTTCAGTTCAGAAAGAATAATGACCTAAACCTCTTAATCATGACAATTAAAGATGGCTTAACTAGAAGGTTTAATATAAAAGCCACATAATATTACAGTAAAGCTTACATATGAGGAAATTTCCATTTTTGCAAAGATACCTGAGTTAGATTTTTGTTTTAATAAGTTTTTCCCCCCCAAAGGACAGCAGTCCTGGATGAAAGTACTTGAGCTAAAAGATCTAAGGTTACAACTAAAGAAAACAGAAAATTATCTTCACAGAATGGGGTTCACAAAATCCTATATGGAAAAGGAGAATGCTTGCAACATCTGCATCATCTCCTGTCTGTACCGTTTCACTAACCCCAACCCTTCCAACTCCTCCTCCCCAAAGTCAACATCCCATGGGAGATCCTATGGTCACATATAGACATAACCAATTTTACTGATAATATTTACCATTTTATCATGGCAAATATTTACTAGGACCTACTCTGAGTCAGATATGACCACTGGCTCCTTCATGTAGACAAACATGCATTGTGCTATCACGCTGGTCCAGAGGACATTGTTAAAGCTTAATTCCTATCCACAAAGAAGCTCAATATCACAGAGGTGTCAGCTTCATAAGGGACCGCAATACACTGTAGGTGACCAGAACTAAACAGGCATAAATAATCAGGCACATTGGGGCCCAAAGGTACAAGTATTCACCTTTGCTTATAAAAGTCAATACAGCTGCATAGAGCATAAGCCCTACTATGCAGGACCTTGAAGAATAAGGATTCAACTAAATGGATATGGGAAAGGATGAGGAGGCTCTCACCAGGCAGAAGAATCAAATACAAGGAGGCTTGAACTCAGCTATCAAATTAACCAAAGGAAGTACAAGGCGAGAAGGAAGTGATATATTTTCCCTCCTTCCTGTATTTTTTTGTGATGCTTTCTATGGAATCTCCTTTCTCAAGTCCATCTGGACATTCAACAGACCCTGGAGGGTTCAGTTCACAGAAAAATTGCAGTAGACAGAAAGACTTTTCTGATCTCTCTGTTAAAATGGAATTGCTCCCTACTTATGTTATGACCCGATTTCTGGCCAGGATCATATTTCCAGCTGTGGGCTAGATGTGGGATACTGAGCATGCTCTCAACCCCTCCTCCCTCTGTTTCTTCATGTGTACACCAGGCTGATACTGCCAAATCCAGGGAGCTGTTGTGGAAATTAGATAGAATGACACATTCAACTCCATCAAAAGCCTGCTTGGAACACCACTGTCAAGAGCTTAACATGAAGTGTAGAGGTTCCTGTATTACTTGTTCAAGGCCACATGGCTGGTATGTGACCAATGTCACATATGGACCTTAGAAAGGAAGAAACAAAGATAGGATAAGTCTGCTAAAAAAAAAAAAAAACTGTTGGAAGTGGTATTTTTTTAATCTAAAATCTTTTTCCATCATGTTAGTCCTGTCTGTACATAGTAGGAATTTAATTAATACAGAAAAGAGCTGAAGTACATGATTTTTATGTAATTTCATAAGTCAGTATATAAATTTATAAAAATATAGATTATTTTAAGAATATAAAATAATTTTCTTAAAAGTCAGTATATAAAAGTGGATTAACCCACAATATAACACCTCCCCGTATTCCATGGGTACACCTACAGCCATTTGCTCAACAAAGCATGATTGTGTTCAAGTGTTTTAAGCATTACTTATACATTTCTGAAGTACATGCCTATGTTAATTCTGAAAAGAAACACTAGCAACATTCTGAATGAAACTTAAATCCAAAAGCTACAGTACAGAGAGCGTACACCGTATGGACCCCGAAATCCCCTTTAATTTTCCAAAAGTGAGAGGTTGAGCAAAAGCTGTGAAGTAACTCCAAATTATTTAGGAAATTCATTTCTTTGTAATTAAGGAGATTAAAGTCCTCCAGGGCCAGAAACCATGTGACAACTCAAATCATTTTTCCCCACTAAAAGCTGTGAAACCCTATCAGTTAAATTCAGGCTCGTCGAGAATTTTGAAATGCTTCAATAATGTTTCTTTGCTCCACACAATCTGCAGTAATTTAATATTCCTGAAGTGTGTCAGGTTTTTTATAATGAGCTCTTCAAATCTAAATGTGAATTATGTAACATTCCACTACAGACACATTCTGTCCAGTGAGCTGCTTCTAAAACGCAAAACTCCATGTTCAGCGATGGGGTGGGGGCTAAAAACACCAAGCCACAAAGCAGAGAAAACAGATTTGCCTTCTGGAGAAAACAAAGCAAGAAGGTTTGAGCAGCTAGAACAGAATAATCATATCCTAAAACCCATACTATCCCACAAATCTGAATTTTCTCTCCCCCCACCCACCAATCTACTCACAGGATCCTAAGGTAAAAATGCTCCTGGTTGTTGGGAGCCTTTTATTTGAGCTTTTCAAACATTTCTAATTCAAGATTTCCAACAATTTGAAGTGTTAAATGTTATCATCTTCATTTAGCAAATGAGGAAACAGACACAGGCCATTGTAGGAGCTTATCCAAGACCCCAGAGCTAGGAAGTAGCATAGCACAGGGCAAAGCACAAGCTACTTCATTTCAACGTCACTCCAGACCTCTCCAGATGCCCATGAATGCATGAACAAATAAGCAAAAAGTGGTCGTTCTGTACAATGGAATGTTATTCGGTTGTAAAAGAAAATGTAGTACAGATTCATGCTACAATACAGGTGAACTGTGAAAACATAGGGCCAAATAAAAGAACTTCAACAAAAAAAAGAAAAAGGCTGCATATGATATGATTCCATCCATATAAAACATCCAAACCAGATAACTCCATGGAGATAGATGAGTGGCTGGGGCAAGACAAATGCTGGCCTAATAGTACAGGTCTGCTCTGGGGATGAAGAAAATATTTTGGAAGTAGACAGAGATGATGGTTGTACAACATTATCTGTAATAAACACAATAAATAACCCCTTAAAAATGGTTCATGTTATGTGAATTTCATCTTTATTTTTTAAAAAAATGAAACACAATATATCCCAGCTTGACCTAAGCTTTATATGATAAAGTAGGGACAATGCAAATTTTAGATAAAAGGACAATGCAGCCCTAAAAACCAGATGAGGAGGTAGTCTTCGCAAAACCAGGACTTTGGGTTTGTGTGGCAGTAACTGCATGTATTCAAAACTGCACATCACCAGCTGGTTTGCAATGTGGGGCCTCTTACACAGCTTCATTCAAAGGACAAAGCACAGGCCATTTATTAACAAGGTTCAAAGGTTTCCCATAGTACAGGCAAACAGTTTCAGTTTCCTTATCAATAAAATGGGAATTCCACCACCAGATATGAGAGATTTGGAGGAGAAATGTGATTTGTGCAACTTGAAACACCTAGCACAATCTATAGCACAAAACCTTTTGGGTAAGAAAGAAAAAGATGATTCTGCTCGTCTTTACAAAAGAAACACAGGACATATGAGACAGAAACCAGTATCTCTACATAGAGAGACACTGGGTTGTACAGTGACTGGGTGGCAGGTGGAAAGGATATGGCAGAGGGTGACTTATAATTTGGACCTGTAATGTCTCCCATTCTTAAGTAGTGAAGGCTTGGTCCCCAGTGCAGTAATACTCAGAGATTCCAACATGGTTTCGTGATTTGAGTGGACTATTGGAAAGAGGTGGAATATGTAGGAGGTGGAACCTTGTTTTAGAGAGTAGACCCTTGGGAACATGCCCTCAGGGACTGTGTCTTGTCAGCAATCCCTTCCTCATGTGCTCTGGGTGCTCCTGGTTCCATAAGACTGTCAGCTGTGCTCTATCACGCCCTTCCAACATGATGTCCAAGTCCACAGCAATGGAGCCGGCCAACCACAGACTGAAACCTCTGTGTGTTTCCAAATAAATCTTCCCTTCTACAATCTTGTTTTCTCAGGTATTTTGTCATAGAAACA